TGAGCAAAATGATTGAGAGGAAACCAAGCGCCAAAGCCATAAAGATATAATGGCTTGTTATGTAATTAACTTAACTCTACCCGCAAAATTATTATCGCAAATAGCCAACTGTTTAATGCATTGATGGTAATTTCGTTCTACAGCGCCGTGACCAAATGTTCGCATTCAAAAGAGAGGTCACATTGCGGACGTATCAAACCACGTATAGAAATTGCGGATAGACAATTTTGTGCAGGGTGTTTCAAAATGTTTCGTTACACTCTATCATAATCAAACCCCATTATTCACTCACAACACACGCCCCGTTCCCACTACGGACGTCATAGATGAAATCATAAATGCGGTTAATGAATGGAATCCAAAAGTTCTAATCCCATTAAAATCAGTTTTAAGATAGTGGTTAATACGCTGAATGAATCAACAGAACCTTGGAAATATATTTTTCATGAGTGATGAACAACGAGGATGGCTGTTTCATTCTTTTGAGCCTCCTCAGCAAACCGCGTTCTACGTTTTGTGACCTTGGTGTCATTCGAAACGCAAACCTCCGAGAAGTGGGCAGGTGTGCGGTGGAGTTAAGCAGATCCTTGCCAAAATCAACCGTATTTGTATGAATGCAGGATGGGCTGGATTCAACTATTTTGTGGTAATCTCATCAGCTGTATTCATACATTCAGCTCACGTTTGGTTAAAAGAGTGACAGGATTGGTGACAAGTGAATACACACGGGGAAGAGAAATCTATCAATACGAAGGCCAAATGTTACTAATAAGAATCGGATCGGGCGTAGGGGAAGGGAGTATAATCACTGCAGGAAGGGATGGACTTGAAAACCTACCAAGGCAGCGACAGATTGACCACGAATGCTCTCTTTTTACACAAATCGGGGTTGTAACATCAAATGGCTGCTGATTTTGAGTGTTTTGTGCCACACACTGAGAATAATCGCCTTAATATCATCAAGTAAATTTTGAGCACATATACGACCAACATTCCGAGTTAATACCAAGGTCTTGTGATGCAGCTAATTGATTCAAAACGAAACCAATAGATCTTACTAACAAATTATGTTTTGCTGATTCGGGACTGTCGAGTGTCATATAAGGTCACTGGAAATCAGTAGAACACAGAAAGACCGACGGTTTTATTATTTTAAGACCCGAATAAGGATCTGGAGCTGCCATCACGAAGTAATATTAGAGAACTGATTTCTGACAGAAGCAGATGTGTTTCTGACAGCTTTGGGCGTGACCGAACAGCTATTATGGAACAATCCATTGCGTGTCAATCGCATAAGGATGATCGTATCAGTATTGTAATACTTGATCAACTCAGTAAAAACAACATCAGTCCTTGGCGCAAGTTCAAAACACAAACGATGGATCTCGTCGACCTCGGCTGCCCTATTGGATTCCCGCAGAACCCTCCCTCCGGATGCTACACAGCGCGAAAATCCCTTAAACGCCAGCTCATCAAGACTGGTGGGTAGAGAAGTGTAGAGCGATGTAGAAGACTGCGTCTATCAGTAATAGTCGCAATCTTTTCCGTCTAATTAGGAATACAGGCCCCAGGAAAGTAGGCGTAAGTGAGATTATTGAGGAATTTGATGGTACACTGATTCACGATCAGCAACGCTGTCTTGATCGATGGGCTAAACACTTCAAGGCTCAGTTCAACTGGCCCCCATCGACATATGATCTTTCACTCTCCACTTAGACTAAGCAACTACTGCTTGTTGATGCTAGTCCTCCATCTGAAATGAAGGTTTCCCGAGAAATACGTCATCTCAAACGGCATAAGGCTTCCGATTCCGACGGGCTGTTCCCATCGGTTTTTAAGAATGGAGGTTCAGCCTTGGTTTTGGAGTTAACAAAACCCCTGGGCTCAGTGTGGGAGAAGGAAGAGGTTCCAGGTGAATGGTGTGATTCGGAGATCATACCGATTTACAAGAAAGATGACAGGTCCTCCTGTGAAAACCGCAGAGGAATTAGTTTAATCAACATTGCATCTAAACCTCTCACTGCTATCATACTCCGTCCGTTGTCTGCCGCACGTGAACGGTGTACGCGTGAGAACCAGGCCGATTTCAGACCTGGTCGAGGCTGTATTGACCACATCATCACACTTCATCAAATTCTAGGACATAGACACTCCTTCTGCAGACCCACCATTTCTATCTTACTCGATCTAAAAGCGGTTTTCGACTCAGTCGAACGCTCTCAACTCTGGCACTGCCTTTCCCTGATAAATTCATTTCAATATTACAATCACTTTATGCTAATAGCCGGAGTCGAGTCCGGGCTTGTTGCACCTTTTCGCCCGAGTTCATCACCGAAAGTGGTGTTCGACAGGGTTGCCCTCTCTCATTTTTCTATTCAATTTTTCTATAGATTTCATTTGGGGACAGCCCTATCCTCGTGTGAGAATAGCGGCATCAATTTACTCTCATGTGGCAGACTGTCTGATCTAGAGTATGCAGACGAAATTGTACTACTAAGTGAAAATCCAGGTAAGTTGCAAGCTTTTCTAGGTAGTTTGAGTGTCAGTGTAGCCATGTTGATTATACGTTTTGCACCTTCAAAGTGTGAAATGTTGCTACAGGACTGGGTAGTTCCAGTACCCAGGCTCACTCTAACTGGAGAGTTAATAGAGCAAGTGGATAAGTTTTGTTATTTCGGCAGCTACATCTCACCCGGTGGACACATCGCGGATGAAGTGTGTGTTCGCATACAGAAGGCTCGTTTACCATTTGCCAAACTGAGACATCTGTGGCGCCGTCATGACATCCGGTTATCAGTAAAGGGTCGAGTGTCCGCCGCGACAGTTCGACCAGTTCTACTATACGGCGCAGAAACTTGACCATTAAGAAAACAGGATAAAGATAGACGTTCGGTGTTTGAATACCGCTGTCTACGCAGCATTGAACGAACCTGGTGGGGCAGCCGGACGAGCAATACTGAGGTCAGGCGCAAAGGTTTAGGTAACCGCGGTCGCCCACTGGAGCAAGTGGTCTACCTCCATGAACTGCGTTGGTTAGGGCATGTTTTACGCATGCCATCAAATAGGTTGCCACAGCGAGCGATGTTCGCCGAGGCAGGTAGTGGGTAGAATAAGGGTCAAGCTAAGACCTGGCACGAGGGGATTCAAACCCTGACCTGGGGAATGGGTCACGTAGGTCCCGTTAGGTTCCATCGTAACCGACGGTTAGAGACACTGATTGATATGGCTGGGTGTCGTAAATAGTGGATTCCGTGCATCTTCTTAATTTCCTTGAAACATTAAACCACTGAAATTCCCCACTTTCTGTTCGACTCTACTTTTAACTTTCCTGTCTTCTCCTATTCTTCATCCAAAGGGGCAGCCAAAAGACAGCAACCGAAACCGGCAGACGGTAGTGCATAGCTACTGGTTGTTGAAACTGAAACTGAACCGAGGCTTTCGGCTACTTCGTATTTACGGGCTCCCGAAGGTTAACAAGGATGTTATTTGACTGCGGCCCATACTCTCTATGTTTGTAGCACACCACCAAAAGTTAGCAAGATGATTAGCTTAACTCATTCAACCAAACAAGCAAATGTTTTAGTTGCATCCTGGAAAACTCGTTTGATTTCGTTGAAAAAATCCATGATCTCAAGATTTCTCAATAATAAATGGTCTCACATGATGTTTGTTCCTCATTCACCAATGTTCCTTTTTGTGAAACTGTGGTTACTATCTGTTCATATGACAATGAAATCAATATTCCATCAAACAGTCTTCAAAAATTATTGCTTATATGTACTAAAGATCTACAGTTATGTTTTAACGTACAGTATTGTCGTCAAGTTAAAGGAGTTGCAATGTTTAGTCCACTAGAACCACTCCTGGCTGATACTGATATTGGAAGTTTGGAGAATATGAAACTGTAACAATGCATACAGAACAACCATTTCTACGGTCAGTACGTGGATGACACATTTGTTGTATCGATGGACAGCGAACAAGCACCAGTTATGCTTACAAATTTCACCGAATATTAAATTCACGGTAAAACGCGAGCGTGAATTTTCCTTCTACTTCCTAGATGTTGAGTTGAAGAAAAACGAGTATGGATCTCTCATCAGAACTTTATTTTACAAGTCGGATTGGACGGGATGATATCTTCATTTTAGAAGTTTCTGTACAATACAATGCAAACGATTGTTGTTGCACAGTTTTTTCTCTAAAGTTAGGATAATATGCTCCGGTGAAACATTAAAGTTCGACTTTCGTTACATATCTACGGCACTGCAGGACATAAGATACCCTAGAATGATCAATAGAAAGTATGGAGCGCCGTTGAATAAACCAGAACCAAGTATTATCGACTCGACAAAAGCTGTTTAGTCAGTATAGCTTTTAAGGGTAAACAAATTGATAGGCTGATTCAGCGCAGGTTTAAACATGCAATTGAAAGAACGTATAATGCTCCCTCAGTTATACTGCTGCACAACACAAAACAATTTCTCACTTAATCCAATCTAGAGAAACAAGACCCTTCAGTAACCTCCTCCTGTGTTTGCCTATTTCAATGTAATTGCGGTTCTAATTACGTCGGAAGAACTGTGGGACGATTATCGACCAGGATTGCAGAGCCTATACCGAAGAATTCGGAGTCTCGCGGGTCCATGCTCAAAGCAAAATTGCAAAAATACTAATGTCACTAAACTCCAAGGCAAACATCAAGCACGGCAGAGCCGCCCATAATGACCCGAACTAATGTGTATTTGTGACATCCAAAGTGTGAACAACATCCAGTCATAGAGCTGGAATGTTGATTTCGTTTCTTCCCAATTTTGACTGATTTCTTTCCTCTCACCTTACAAAATATTTCGGACATGCAATGTAACGTTTTGGCTTGTAGCTTAGTCACCGCAAACGAGCTTGTTCGCTTTTTGTGCTTCTCTCACAGTTCAGTTATCCAAGCAAAGATAGCTATCCAGTCGAATTACTGTGCGATTTCCCGTGTCTATTTCATTTAGTCAGTCATTCAATGCAGCTCTGAACGATTCGAACATGATCGGACCGGGATTTTCCCCCTGATTTACAACTTGCCTATGTGGTGCCCTTGCCTAGGGGATAAATAAATGGAAGTTATTAACCACAGATTTATACAGTTTTCTTCCATACTCATTGTGGCCACATCGTTATTTGTTTGGTTTAAAATGTTGCTTAAGTGAACTGCAGTTTGACCCGGAAGTTCAATGGACTGCATTTACTATTGTTTTTCTGTAATTATGTTGGTTGTTTACAGATTGACTTGCTACTTGTTTAAGTATTAGTAAGTTTGTATATTGTACAATTGTACACAACTTCACCGGCGCGAGACTCACACGTCAAAGACTTGCATTTCAAATCCTCAAACTACTATTTGTCGCTGTTACTCAGTCGTAAGGGATTTGTATTGCAAACCAGATAAATCGGGCCTGGTTTACCTAGTCTGACTACATACATGACTCTAGCTGATGGCTAAAACCGCTAAAACATTTTTGTATCATTATTTGATGACACGAAGAAAACTATAAATTACTTACGAGTTGTAATAGTGTACCATCTTTGTAGCAGGATTCTGGAATTCTAGTATCCTTGTAGTCAGTTGGTCCATATGCACCGCAACAACCATACTGTAGACAATAAAGAAACACACAGAGAGAGATGAGTGTTTGTGTGCGAAAGAGGGAGTGGATATTCTCGGGATTCGTGGGAAACTCACATCAGTTTGAATATTGTCCATTATTTGCCGATACTCAGGATCCGTATTATAATTCGTAACGTACTTTCGTATAGACGGGATTATATGATTTTCACCCTATTTGGGAACCAAATTGGAACCCGTTGGTAATTCACAATCAGTCAACTCACATTTGACCGGTACGCCGTAGCAACAAATCCGCAAACGGCTTGCGCAATGATGACCAGAATCAAAACAATAACGTACTATTAAAATTAAAGGGAATGGAGAGAGAGGAGGTGAGGTTTTGCTGAACTGAGTTCGATGATTCATTGAGCTTACCAGTAGGAGAATGCACACGTTGGTCACGAACGCGGATATCATCCCGAATACAGCTGTGACGAATAGAACACAACCTATCACGGTGAATCCGATCAAGAGTCCATTCAGTCGATAATCGTCCACTTTTGAGTATCGTGGTTGGTAGTAAATGCCAACCCCACCCATGGAGATCAGAGTGACCGCGCATAGCTGCCTTGTTGTGTCAGGAAATCTTCACTTACCATGATCAAGAAATTGAGGAGTACCACGGCTACTTGTAGCCCCCGATAGTTGCACATTTTGCCGTATGACACTATGAGCTTCAATGTGAAAACAGTTCAAAATATTTCAATTAGGAAGGTAATGTGTGTAGAGGGACAACAACAAACCACGTGTTTCATATTCAGGTGATGGTTGCATAACAAATGATGAAATTCGATCACGTAAGCGCGTATTCCAGTGCTTCATTTGATTAGAATAATCGCCATAATGTATACTTTCAGGTTATATTGAAAGGAGATTGTACTCATCTGTGATGCTTCGTGTCGCTCAATTTATAATGTACAAAATGTCAAAACATTTGGTAACATTGTGATAAGTTTGACGATCGTTCAAGGTGATAACTGGTATCTGCAGATTAGTGCGTTTCTTACCTAAACAATATATACCCCGATCTCGAAAAAATAGTCAGTTTTATTAAATTTAATATACAAAATCAGTTTTATCTGAATTTACACAACCATCACACATGGTTCACAAGAGCGGCGTATTTAATGAGTCACTGTCCATTGGACATTGATGTCTTTTCAGTTTCAGTCGGAGACGTGAATTAAATGGATAAAGAGCGCTTAGTTTTTTGCGAAATGTTTTCTCCGGCACTGAACAAAAAAACAGTTCATCTAGTGTAATAATGTGATCAATAATCCCCTCACAAAACAACAACGCTGCGCATGTCTTTAAATCTCATTTTGACCAGTTCCTGTGAATCTTTTCAAGACGATTTACCTCTGTTTCAATTGCTGCAGACGCTTTGCACAATGTTGATGATTGTTTTGGGGAGCAAGCTAGTCTCTTCATGGCAGTTCAGACAGAAATTCTGAAGAAACCTCGTACGAGCATCGTAATTAGTGGTGATCTACACGATTTACCTGTTTTCCAGTATCCTTCAATGTTTTTTGTTAATTGTAGAAGTTTCTAAATTGGAACCTCGTTTGGTATATTAGATGCGAAGTTTACATTATAATCCAATTATTCAAGTTACTCGGTTTATTTTATGACCTATTTAAGCTTCTTTCCTGAAATTATTTTGCCATATTGCTGTGTTATCATAAGTATTGATCAGTTTTGCTGTTTTTTCATCGCATAGGAAGCTCGCTCCCTTTTCATTCATCATTCGTCTCGCTGCCCACTTTGGTTACCTGGCGAGACGATCTGTTTAAACTGGTTCCGACAGTTGATACTACCATTTATTATTTTGTGTTTTTAATTACCATCTTGAGTTTTAATTATTATTTTTATTGTTGCTAAAATCACTATCATCATTATATTAGTAATAGTATAATTATTAGTAGTGGTTTTCGTGTTTATCGTTTTTTTGTTTCTGTTGTTGTTGCGGTATCATTTAACTGGTTTACACTATATTCGTTGCATTACACCTTCGCCACAAAATTTCATTAGCAAAAAGTTATCTGAGTGAATAATTCCGATAGATTCATTAGAAAAACAGAGATGTGGCGAACAAGCTTGGTTTCTGTGCTGTATCCACTGCAGCACATTTTATAACTCAGGGAAATAACAAAAGTAGACGGTCAAATCGAGGTTTTAGTGTGTGTGAAATGGACGTTCAGGGGTTGGGAGGGAGCGAGATGCAATAACACTGAGCGCATGATTGGTGATAATCCCTTGCGGAGTGTGAATATTCGATTGAAATGTTAGGTGGGGGCAATACGGACACACGGCCATGGGACGGAAAGGGATTTAACCAACTGTTTGTGTGCACATAACAGGGGTTTGTTTATTCTAATTGCTATCGCCTTTGTCTTAGATAACACTAGAGTTTTCACATCCTTAGATCCCCTTCGGTAAATAGATCGGACGGAACGTCCGATCTACACATCGACGGTGTGGTTCGTCTCGGCCAGATGTACAGCAACGGCACTCGCACCTGCTTTTATCGGTCCCCGACTGAGCCGAACTGGGCGGTGTTTTCTCATCCGATCGACCAGGCGTCTGGTGGTGCCACCCACGTAACTTGCGCCACAGAAGCAAGTAAACTGGTAAACACAAAAAGCGGTCACCTCCATCTGTCCTGAAAACTGCGTTATACATCAATCTGGGAGGTATTCAGGTCACTTCGTGATATGAACTGTTATTCTTAGTGTGTGCCTGAAGATCAATCAATCCAAAGTAAAAGCTCATAAAAATAATGATGCATCCAGTGTGTTTCCTACAATTTTCTAGCAAATGTGATTAGGTTCTCTTTAAATAGATCGGTAAGCGTTCTTTTTGCTCGCGCGCGCGTGACAGAGAGCTAACGAGTGATCCTTGTGTGACATGATTTCCCTCTGTTGAACTAGTACTAGTTTAATTTCCAATCCTTTTTCCATTTCCAATAGAACAGAACAGGTGAATCACAATCGTTCGCTTTATTTTAAGATCTCCTTCCTGATCCACACTGAAGTTGAGAGTTATTCTTTATTGGCTTTACCCAACTGGGGTTAAAACAGTTATAAAACACTTTCTAGTTTTTTATTTCAAGTTTGCTGCTATTAACTATTCGACTACAAAATAGTCAATCACTTGCGTTGTGCATTGCGTTGGATTGCGGATTAAAATGTAAAGAGCTTCCAATTTTACTCACAAGTACCGTGGTATATGAAAATAATTATTTAGTGAAAACCATAATAAAAAGATAAACCGTTCCCTGCAGTAACGCGCTCATCCGTCAAGACAAAGAGTTATTCGTATTCTGGTGCTAACTGCAGAAACTCTCAAGGCTTATATTCCTGACAGCATAAAAGTAAGGCTCTAAACGTTCATCCGTATTTCTATTTGTATTGAAGCTTTAGGAAGTTATACACAAGCTTTCAGTCACAAAATTACTGCCATGTTGCTGTCAAAAAGGATGAAATAAAGAGAAGTCCTGAAATATGAATTAACCACTAAAGGCTTGAGAAAGCTAAAAACAAACCCCTTTCATGTCCGTTAGTTTACACTCAAGAGGTTTATGTAGGCAAAAGTGCGAGATGAGATAAGCCTGTAGTTGGAATGGGTGAACGGTTATGATTGTGATAGGCACAGATACATGTGCAAAGGTTGGAGGCTAGAGGCTAGATATTGAATAAATTTTGAGAAGAATAGCCATGGTAGAGTAACAGCAATAAACGAGGGCTTTCAAAAATGCTAGTAATCTCCGAAGCAATATTCAGCAGCATAGCATTATCAACCGTGCGGATGATCACAAATGTCTCTTCTCGATTAAAACGGTAACGTTATCTGTAAATGTTGCAGAAAGTGGAATTTGGTGTTAACGACGCTTATATTCATGTTGCTCTATTTTCACAGTTTTTGCGACTTGTATCTAAACTCAAATTGGAATGTGTTTAGAGATTCCGTTACGTAACGCCCTTTCTGTTCTATCGATGTAGGTTTCACCACAAACGTACTTTGAGCCTTGCATAATGCAGTAAGCGTTTCTATCCGCAGTGATAAGGTTGCACATAGGTGAAGATAAAGGAATGGATTAATTGAATTTCACCAGACCTATACGATAGGCTATTCATCTACCTACCTGTCACCGTCGAATCCACTGCATCCCCGGACAGAAGAATGTTGCTAGTGCTGTGAGCCGTTGGCAGCAGTGTTACACAAAGGCACAAAACGAAGCCTCGATTGAATTTGTGCATCTGCTGTGAAGCTCAGATGGTTCTGCGACCTCCAAGGCCATTGTAAATTACAAAAGGGATAGAGATGCGTTGTTTTTCGAGCTGAGTGAAGGATGTTACAGGATTTGACACTCAAAGCTACGTATTATATTTCCCCATTTTTCAGCTGTCGATCAAATCTGAGTATAGAAGAAGGATTTTTATTTCGTGGTCCTAACATTGTTCTCCTCAAGTCTACTGCATATGCTCAAGTAGTTAAGTCGCAAGTAAATACGATGGAAAGATTTGTGATGACCAACAGAGAGCATTGAGATGTTGTTTCGTCCTGTTTGTGACTCATCATCAGTACGTACCTTTTGTGCCCCTGTCAGCACACGAAGCGTGAACCTTGGGACTTCAAACACCTGCCCCTGATCCACACGGTTCACGGTCATCACCTTGTGTGAATGCGTGAGGGAAACCTACACCCAAGATCATTACCAGTGTTTGGTTACTGTGAAAAGCCGAAGGGGCTAATCCAAACATTCACCGTTTATTTATGAAACACATGCAAAAGCATTGTAAACTAAGGGACTAGCTACGACCCTCGTTTGCTGGTCTCAGATAAAAGCGACAACTAAGGACATAGTGAGGTGTCCTATTTCGGCTCAAAAAAATACCAGATTAACAAATCAGCAGAACCAAAACAATCATGTACGCTCCAGATAGCCCCTGACAGAGCATTCATGAGAATAATTTTGGGACTACTAATTGGAAGGTATTATTGCTGTTATTGATTGCTTATTCACGGTGGATACACATCTGAATCATAACCCTTCATTGGAGACATTTCTTTCCAGTTTCGCTAATTACGGTTGCCAAGATTGTTAACACAGTTACTGGTCCATAATTAACGGAATTTACTCAATGATTTATAGGATTTACTCAGTGTACTGACGTTCTCTTTGCCTACCACATTACGCTTTCTAAGTTCGTCAGTTATTCTACAGGACGAGGTGATGTTTGAGCGGCAACTCGGTACACATTTTTGTGTGATACAAATGAATAAACCCTCTATGTAATGCACCAAATGAGAAAGACCAATTAAACTTTGGAAGCCATACGGGAAAACGGCTTCCTGTCAAGGGTTTATGCAATACTTCCGCATCAGAGTGTATTGTAACCCAGGTAACTGCTATGATGATCAGGTTTTGCTCGACTGCCCGACAATCTACGCTCGCAGAAAGCTGAAGAGACATATAAGAACTGTCAGAAAGGTTTCATCAAACTTGGCAATCTCCACGCAGTGTGTGAGCCTAAACG